ATCAAACTGGATAAAGTTAATATTAAAAAGAAATACCGAAAAACCTTTATAATACGACGGAACGAAAACGAAGTCCGAGACAACAGAGAAACCGACATGGAGGATAAACAATTGAGCCAGGGAGAAGCGATCATTCTTTCTCCTTAAATTTCTGGCTTTTTAATGAATCTTTCCCCTAAATTCTTAACTTGATCGGTTAATCAATTTGACACGTCCGTTCGACTTCATTCGCAAGTGTTGATCCAACTTTGAAACTCGCTCGTACCTCACACCATGATATTTTCTTTTCTGAAAGCTAAGAGTTTTTCATGTCTTCATTACTTACAATGCGACAATTTTAATTTTCAAAGGAACGTTGCATTTATTTCCTAATTAACAGAGATCAAGATTAAAATAGTTTTCTTTATTTCGCCTATTTAACAATGCATATCGGATTGGTAATTTATCCAATTCCTCTTCGGGCTCACGGTTTTACTATCTAAAGTTGTTGTCTACAACATAACGAACAAAAGGTTAAGGTTAGTTCGTCTTAATATAATTTTGTTATCCAGAATGATGCGTATGGTGCACAATTTGTACACATCCTAATGGTACAGTTTCTAAATATCAGTCTCTTGCACTTACTGGCATATTTTCTTTGTCTATTTTTAATGTGCAAATGAAACGCTTCTTTCATTTCCCACAATTATTAATTAATTTCAAATATATGCGCTCCACCTCAAATGAGTAGTGGCTTGCTCCTGTACAGTACATCATACTTTTTCTTTAACAATAGAGTCGTGCCGGTCATCTATTAATTGCTTTCGGGGGAGTTTTGAATTTAAAAAACGTGATTTCCGGTTTGCATTATACGATTCAAAAATTTCCCCCTGTGTTAGATAAGGAAAAGTATGATGCATAGGAACAAATCACTACTAATTTGAAGCGGCAAGCATATATTTTAAATTAAATAAATTAAAAAATATGATTAAAACTTGTGACAATGTCGCAATAATTTTTGTTCGTTAATTAAGAATTATTTTCAATTGAGTCTGTTTAACATAATTATTCACTTCAACATTGATTTCATTCTAAAAATATATAACTTAACACCACAAAATATTCAAATCCAAAACTTTAGGCAAATCAAATCTCACCACTACACTTAGTTTAATTATACTTTCAATATCTGTTCTCTTATTCTTATGTAAAAAAAAAAATAGTTTTTCAACTCTTCTATTTTAAGTATTTAATACATTGATGATCCTAATATTTTATTTTTTACATGTTCAACAGCTTTAATGGACTGTGAAGGTCTGGTGTTATATTAACTGTCAGTTATAGCCAAGTTTTATGTAAGCTAATATCTTTTAGGCTTCAGTAATTACACTACAGCAGCTTTAAATCATCTACCTATGTATGACAATTAGTTCATGGATAATGAACTCAGTGGCAAGTGACTTTAAACACACTGAAAGATAAGGTGTCTAATCATGTTCCTTTTCATCACTTTGACAGTCAAAGATCTATTAAACTGAACACAGATGCAAGTATTGGTGTATGTAGAAATTTTCCAGGGGGTGACAAAGTTCGGAGACAATTATTTGTTTAGTTTTTCACAGATAGGTTATTGAATACAGTAGCCATTGCATCAAAACATCCCACAGTCCAGATGTAAGGTTACATATCTCAATCACTTTTATGATGATAATTTTTGGGATTTTTTTATTCCACAGCAGGGAGGGAGAAGTATCCCGTTTGCCTCACTCTGCCATGGAAATGATGTTGTTATAAGAGTTGTTATATTGCAAGACATAAAAGGAAAGGAAGTGACAATTGCTTAAAGTAATTGCACTTCGCAAGGAGAAAAAAAATCTAGTACTACTGAGAAAATTACATATTTAATACGAATAAATCTTAAGATTCGTTTTTAGAGTCTTAAAACTTAACTTCATTGTTCACTCGCATTGCTATAATTCAGAGGACCATCAAAAATTTCAAAACAAAAACCGAATTAGTGGGAGGGTTTATAACAACGATGTAATATATGTGAACTGCCGAGCAAAGTAGGGAACAAATAGCCAACGAGGCAGCATTTAAATCGACTTTGTGCTCGCTTATAATGCGCATCCTAATTTTGAAGATCAAAAAAGTCCAAAAAAGATGCGCTTTAGAATCGAGAAAATAAATACTACCACCATAGACTGGAGTTACTCTCTATTCAAATGACTATTACGAACCGTTTCGCATTGTGTTGGTTAGGTAAATATGATGTTATTTTCTTTAAATTTACCAATATTTTCACTCCCAGGTCAACGGTTTAAAAATACTCCGATCTTTTTCTTGTAATAAAGTTAATACCCTTTAAGAAGGACTAACTTTGGGACAAAGTGTTTTCTCGTTTTTTTAACAGTATAAAAGTAGGATTGTTGCCACGTTAACCGTCACCAATCTTTATTTATCAAAAATAGTCAATAACTTAATGCAATTTATGCAAAATATAAATTTTACAATATATATGTTACCGCTAAAGCTCGAAAGTCGTTAATGTGTACATTACCTAGCTAATCTGCAGATTAACTAGAGTGATCCGTTAAAGTTGCTAAAATTGCTCTATTTTTCAAATTACCTAGGTAATGTGCAGATTATCTAGGTAATCTGCAAATTACCTACTAGGCACTCGGTAAAGTGAAAATAAGATCTTTGCTGGAACAACAGCAACGTTTCTGTACGCTTAAATTAACATAATGTTCTTTATTTAATTTTCGATATCTAAAGAATCAAGTTAATACAATCAAACAATCAACAAATTAGTTGATAGAATTAATCATCAACCAATTAAAAAACATACAAAAAATCAAACGGTTTAAAATATTAATACAATTAGGGAAATTATTATATAGATAACCACCTATGGAATTTCGGGACTTTGAGTATCTATCTGAACTGAGGGGACCGAGACGACTTCAACGATACCCTACTTTTGGACCGGAGACGAAAAATAATAAAGTTATCATACTTTTTCTGGTGATCGCATGATATAATTGTGCAGTTAATGTTACCTATGGTGAGTAAAATGGCGGCTCGTCTCTGATTCCAGCAAACAGAAGAAAGGAAACAGTGGGGACGCACGTTCTAACCTAACCTAACCTATTCTAATAAATTACCATAATTATTACCAACCAAATTATTAGAATAGGTTAGGTTAGGTTTGAACGTGCGTCCCCACTGTTTCCTTTCTTCTCTTTGCTGGAATCAGAGACGAGCCGCCATTTTACTCACCATAGGTAACATTATCCAATTGTGCTTACTTATTAGTGCAGTCTAAAGATTGGTGACACTTTGAATTTCATAGCAATTGGTTTTTGCGACAAGCACACCTATTTGTGGTACATTTATTTGTGGCAAAGATCTTATTTTCACTTTACCGAGTGCCTAGTAGGTAATGTGCGAATTACCTAGATACTCTGCACATTATCTAGGTAATTTGAGAAATGGAACAATTTTCACAACTTTAACGGATCACCCTAGTTAATCTGCAGATTAGCTAGGTAATGTACACATTAACGACTTTCGAGTTTTAGCGGTAACATATAGATTAAGTGTGTATTGAACAATCATAAAAAGATTTGTCATATTACTATTAAATATTATGAAACCACATCAAATGCAATTGACTTGTTGACTATTTCCAAGAAAAATATTAGAAATTTGATTAAAAGATATATAAATAATAAAAAACTTTTTGTTCATAAACATTTGATATCAATATTACAATAATATAATGATATGTACTGTACAGTACACATGAAAACTTGGTATTTTGTTCTTCCCATCATAAATATTTCAAAACTATCTTGTTTATCTGAATAGTTTCAAAGATTGATGATTCACATTTACCATTCAAAAGTTTCCTTTTCACTGTCCTGATGATCTAAAAATTTCTTTATCATTATTGTGTTTATCTACTGTAAACATAAAATTCAAACAAAATATATTCTTTGCAAATTTATTCAATATAAAGTAATATATTACAATGTAAATATCTAGATTACATTCTTTAACAGTATATAAAATTTGCATTGAAAAAATAGCTTGTTTTTTTTTTAACAATGAACTAAAAATATAAATATTTCCATTATAAACTATAGAAAATTTTTTGTGATGTTTATGAAACTTTATACTCTAATTTTTACTAAAAATTTTGATTACAAAATAATATACCTTTTATTTAACTATATATATAAATATCTTTTCATTCTTTGAGATCATCATTATTAACTTTTAATGTGCTAATTGTCAAACAACAACTAAATACAGTAAAACCTCAATTTTATGAGAAAAAATTTGAACATTTTTAAATATGTTTTTTAGTGCAGCAATAAAAGCATTATGGTAATTAAAATGAAGTAGCAAAATGCCAAAAAGATAAATAATTTTAGTTATAAAAGTCACAATCCTATGAAATATCAATTATTTTCATCAAAAATGCCAAATATAAAATACAAACACTTTAATATTAATATTGAATTGTTATAGTAAAAAAATAAGAAATTATAATATCAACAAAATATAAAAATTTAAAAGCATGTGAACTGAAACTTGATTCTTGCTTAATATTTCAATACACACAATTATGATTGGTAAAGGATAAAAACTACTACATATTTTTCTGCTTGTAAAAAAATTTTGTACAGTATAAAGTTATTTTTATTTATGTAAATGCCAAAATTAATTATAATGAATTATTAAAATATTTATCAATATATTAAGACAGGCATTTCTATTCTAATTTGAAAATTGACAGCGATTCTGGAAGTCCTCAAAAATTTTTTTTTATTAAAAACCATTTGAAACAAATTTATAGTTTTATATACTGTATGATAAACTAAAATATAATTTGATATCTGGCTTTAATCAAAAATTGGGTTGGTTGAGTTGATGTTTATATATATATAATTTATTATTTATTTCAAATGTCTCAAGAATCAAAGTATATTTTAGTTTAGCAATTTTATATCATATCCAATTTAACTTCAAATTTACTTAAAACATTTCTTTTTGTGTGAATTTTATCTTGTATTTGAAATTAATTTTGAAAATGGATTAAAAATAATATGAAAACAATGACTTTGATAAAATGTTCTTCTATTCAAATAAGTAGTTCTATTGAATTTGTCTTAGGAATATTTAATATTAGACAACTTCTTTTATTTCATATAATATAACTTAATTTACTACTTAATTTAATTTAATACTTATCTTTATAAAAAAAAAATAAGTATTTATATTGAATTAGTAATTAAATTATTGTAATTAAATTTCAGTGACTGTTAATATCATAAACTAGATATATTGATTTCTTTAACATAACTAATAATAACTGACATTACTTCTCACAACCTTTAAATTTCAAGATTATTTGTTATTGTTTTTTTCTGAGAAAAATATAAAATTGAGGGTTGACTGTATTATCTCTGCAACTAAAAATACTATTCCAAAATAAATAGATAACATTCCAATATTTATAAAAATCTGGTTAATTCAGACAATATACAAATATTTTATATTATATGCATATGTGTATGATTATAATACATTTGATCATCATTACTCAAAAATATAATTCTTTTCACATTATGTAATTTTGTAGCTGCATTGCCTTGTTACGTCAAGCTGTATAACAGAGTTTTTACTTTTCGGAATGATAATATTAAGTTTGTTTTATCAATTTAGACAAGCGTTGCATTAAAAATGGCCATAAGAATGGCTGCTATTCCACCAGTTATGGGAAGTGTTAAAATCCAGGCTAGTACGATGTTACGAAACAGACTCCAGTCTACACCTTGCCGGGAACGTGTCCAGCCAACAAAAACTACAGATCCAACTTTACAGTGAGTTGTGCTGATCGGTAAACCAAGTTTTGAAGCTAAAAGCACTGTTGAAGCTGCTCCAATTTCAATTGTAAAACCACTAAAAAATTTTAATTTAATATTAAATCATTGCTAAATTATTAAATTTAATTGTAACCTTTTCTCACCTTGATGGTGTTATTTTAGTAAGATCTTCTCCTAAAGTTTGTATTACTTTTTGACCCCAAACCCATAAACCAACAGTAATTCCTAAGCCACCATATAAAAGTATATAGAAAGGGGTTTCACCTTCTTGATATACATTACCATCCATGAATATCATCCACATTGCTATAAGTGGCCCAATTGCATTACTGTATATTAAGAAAATTTTATTAAAAATACAGCAAACTAGAAGAATTGTAAATAATAATAATTAAATTCTTAATAATTACTGTTAAAATATTATTAAATACAATGTAGAAATTTATTGAGCTAATTATTTTATTAAATACAAAATGTGGTATAATATTTTGAAAAAATAAACTTAAAAAACAACTTTTTTCTAAATAACAAGAGTCATATGAAGAAAACACTGAACTAATATTTATTTTTTAAAAATGCATGCAAGCGTTGCATTAAAAATTAATCTTCTTAATGTCTTCTTGCTTAACATTTTCTTGGTAGAATATTCTTTAGTTTTTAATTCCCAAACTTCTTAGAAAATGTATCTCTCAATATGTATTTAGCCAATGTTTTATACATAAAACATCTGTAATAAAAATGTGTGTGAAAAGTCTCAAGTTTTATTACTATACTTATACAATTGGTTAGAAAGTTTTAAGATCCACGTGTAGACATGTGGATCCTATTTCCTTGTGTGTCAACAAATGGAATAGTTGGCATTGGAAGAGGCAACATAGTGCAGCAATCAGTACATATCAACCTCCTGTACAGCAGAATGCATACAACTAAACATGCTTTCATGACATCACTAACAGTAGTCAATTGATTCTTCAATTTACAGAAATATTAGAAACATTCATAAAAGAATGTGCCATGAGTTATTCTTTGTTTTTATCTAAGTTTTGTCTGCATTTCTTAAAAATATATTTGTTGCTGTATTATCTGCTATGCAATAATGATATCATAAACATAATTTATATTGTATGGTGATGTACTGTACATGTTACTGCAAACAGAATAATATATTAAATGTTTGATGAATGTCAATGCATTAAGCATTTTGTCCTAATAACTAAGCTGACCAAATATATTATTTTAAATGGGACAGTATTGTCTTTTGCTCTGTCCCAGCTGTTCCATTGTTTTAGTAAAATTTTCACTTTTGTTCTGTTTTTTGAAAATCAAAACATATAGTCTGTATATTAAATACATTTGTATAATGTAATTTGTTAGAAAATGTTTATTCTGCATTGATAAAAGTCATAAATTTGAATGGATATTGCCGAGGAAGAAATGGCATAAAATATAGCTTATCATTTGAATGAATTTAAGAAACATATTACATGAACAAATAAAGATGAAATTCAACAATTCAATCAATGGATGCTAATAAAGATAATACTAAGTAGTGATGGGACAATTAATTGGAATCTATATCATAATAGGAAGAATCAAACATTTTTCAATAATTGGAATTGAAATTTATCATAATTTCTTATTCTTAAAATAATTTTTTAATATTTAATAACAATAATTATTACCTGAATGAAAAATTAATTAAGTTTTTTAAATTATGATCATTAGCAAGTATTATTATAATCTAAAGTTTCATTTTGTTCACTAAAAGTTACATCAAAATTTCTTGTTTGGTGAAATCAACTGTTGGATTAAGAGTTTTTAAATGTAGATGCAATATCAAAATGAACATTGAGACATTAAATAGACTAGGCATAGTAAAAGCATTTCAATAATAAAATTTTGACAGAAATTTGGACAGAACTGTAATCTACTTCTAATTGTTATTATTGATAACACTTTATTAATGGAGAGTTTAATTTATGCCAAATATAATCCCAAATAGGGTTTAGCATTCCAAAATTTTTTCATTTGCCTTTAAAAATGACAAACTTGGCAATGTTAGTTACTTGTTTGTTCTGATTATCTGTGTTACTGTTATTTCTTACCATGGTTTCAGGTTTTCATATTGATACTATACAGGATGAGTTGTTTTGTCTAATTTACACAATAGAAAGAAACTAACTTGATAAACAAAGTGATTTGAAAATTTCATAGAAATTGTTTTGTCTCTCTCAAGTATGTGCAATTCTTTAATAATTTTTACATTATTAAAATTAAAGAAGAAAAAGAGATTTAAAAAATTATAAACAATTACTGTATTTTACAGTATATAAGATGCAACTTTTGTCCAAAAATGTAGCTGAAAAATAAATCACCCTGTATATTATACATGAAGTTGCAATCTCCCATGGAATAACAAATTTTCCAAACAGCCTTCACTAAGTTACAGATAGCATCTTACTTAGCCCAATTCATGAATAAAATGTCCATTCTAATTTTTTTTTTTAAATCAGAAATCAGTGAAAAAATTTGGGGCTGAGTGCCAAAGGCACAGGATTGTTTGAATTAAACACATTGAATACTTTTTAAAAATTAAAAAAAGTAAAAATATTCTGAAATGGGAATGTCTTTTATATGCTATAAAATAACAGTATACTTCACAAAATCCATCTTTATAGCAAAATTTTCAAATGTTAATATTCATTTTTTTAATAATAATTATACAATAATTAATTTACTACATTTATACCATAAATAAATTTTTACCTGACATCATTTCCTCCATGAGCAAACGAACCAAATACTGCAGTCAAAATTTGTAAATATGAAAAAATTCTGAATGTTTCTGGCCGATCATCTAATGAATTTTTATTTTCATCACTTTCTTTGTTTTCTTCCTATGAAAAAAATTTTTACTTGTGTATTTACTGTTAAGTATATATTATATGTTTAATTCTAATATAATTTATATATAGTAGAAGTTTGTTAATCTATATATGTTTATCTGGCACTTTCTGAATTGGAGTATTTTTGGACACAGTTTGCTAGATCCTAGGCAAAAACAACTACATAAAGAAAATGCAAAGCATTAAGTAATTACACATCATAAACAAGTTTGAAAGGGTCTAAAAACAAACTTGTCAGGTAATCTAGTGGAAGCAGAAGACCTTGATATTCTGATCTCAACAGATGAAGCAGTTCCATCAACATCATTTCAGAATATCTAGGAAATCTTACCTTGTTAAATTCCTACACAGTGTAATTTAGTCAACTGTACATAGTCTACATTGTGTTGTGCTAAACAAGCACAGTTTGTTAGAGTTAGTACACATTTTGTATTCAGTAATGTGCATAACTAATGTATTTTCTTTCTCATAAGCCATTGCAAAGACAACATACCTACAAACAGGTTTCTTACATTCATGAGCATGTATAGCTTTTGCAAATCACTAGTGTAACCAAGGAGGGGCCCTCTTCTTAATGAAAAAGTTAATAAAAATGTTAAATATAAGAAAAATTCTTTAATTATGGACTTAACTATGTACATAGTAATTTACATATATTAATTAAATTATCTATCCATTAAGTAAGTATTAAAAGCAAAAATTTATTAAAATATCTAGTAATTCATAATAAATTTTAACTTGGACTGTCCCTTTACGTGGGATCTGATTACACAACTGTTATGAATCGTATGTACAGTACAAAGTACATATGATTCATACATGTTCATAAAATAAATATTATAGTATTTGCACAAATCATTATGAATGTTGATTTTGTGCAATAACATATTCATTAATGTTTTTGCAGGTTTTTTTTAATCAATCTAATCATGTACAGTACTGTATCATCATCAGATTTTTTAATAAGTGTGTTTAAACAAATCAAAAGCATACAGCAGTGTGTGTTGTTATAAAATGTACAATAATATCTGCTATTTTTAAATTACAAATAATATTGAATTTTGTGTAACTACAAAATGTCTAGTAATCCCTTTTTTTTTCTCTGTTAATCTAAAATCAGTGGTGGATTGAATCACTGGGAAATTCCTGATTTTCTGGCAGGCCATTCCTTATTTTAATATATTTTAAATTTCACTTAAATTTATAAAGAAAAATCAATTAAACAAAATACAAGCAGTGTCTACCGCATTAACCACTCAGCCATCTGTCCATCATACTAGTTGTTAGAGAGAGATTTCTTACAGCAGTTTCATATAATCTAATCTATATATATATATATATAATAATATATCTAATATCTGGATATAAATAATATCTAAATATAATCTATAATATTTTTGACAATTCTAACTATTATTTATTTGAAACATTAGCTAACACAATGATAGAAAGTGTTCTACCAATTTTCTGTATTTTTAGAACTTGTGAAAGCAAAGTTTCATGAACAACAATTTATGGTACTTTGCTTCTTCAGGAATGTACTAAGAATTTTTACAATACTTAAAGTTAGTTTTTGTTTCAATTTTTCTGAATTTGTTTGATCAACATCACAATAAATATTTTAAATTTGGTTTTGAAATATTGAAAAAAAAAAAAAAACTGTGCACNTAATTAGATTCTGTGTAATTTTTCTACTATTTTTTTATATTATATACAGTATTTGTGCAAATTGTTTAATTATTTAATGATGAATTAAACAACTTTTGTATCCCTGCTATTTTCAACATTTTATTTTTGTATATGGTACACTAGCAGAGATATATGGCATTGTAAAGACTAAGACATAACCAAACTTTTAATATTGATCTGCACCATATGTGTTATCAGATCATAGTCAGTGATTCTCACAAAGATACATGAACATAATTGAGAATAATTAACATTGTAATTGAATATCTCAATACACACAATGTTGCACATCTTTCCAATAGAGGCATAAACAAAAACATTATATAGAATTCAACATTCTGAATACATTTGCCTTTGTAAAAAGTGAGACTCTTCCAGTTGTAAGCCAGAAACAGTCAATATTTTTCATTGAGACTTTTTAATCACATGCTAAAAATCTCAGCAAAATAGGAAATTGCAGTCCTTTAAATCAAAAGATTATGTTACAGTAGATGGTATGAAGGAAATGTGTGGTATAAAAGCATTGTTCTTGCAACAGCCAATGATGTTTAAAACTCTGTTATGTTTATTTATTAAGCAAAATAAGCATCATTTCTAATTTTGGCCATTGCAGATGCCACTTCAGAAACATTTTATGAAGAATCTTATTTCTATGATTCTTTAAATCATAGAAATAAGATTCTTCATAAAATGTTACCTCCTTTCCCTTTAGATAGTTCTTTCTTAATTCACTCTTTAGTATGGCACAACTCTATAGATAGCACGGTAAGACCAAAGCACTAATAAACATTTGATAAAGTAACTTCTTAAATGTTTATTAGCATTGTGCTCTTATTGTCTCCTTCAAGACAAATATACTTTCAAAAATACAGTAAACTTGTCTAAAATGGAATAAAATGGAACCAGCCTAAACAGGAAAAACTTTGGAATGGAACAATTTTTTTATGTTCAAGTTTACTATAAGCCAGAAACATTGGTACCTGCAGACTATAAATAAGGTGGGAGCACAAGCTGTAAAAAAGGGTATTGTACTACATTATATAAAATATACATATATACTATATATCTATATATAGTACATAGAGGTATCTCTTGATCAAGGCAATTAATTAAACCTTCGATGCTACCATGTATATCAATATTGCATTAATCAAATATAGTGGTACCTCGGTACTCGACTGAATGAACAATCACAGCCCCTAGAACAAACTTTCAGTTAATAACAAATATGTTTATTTTAATTTTGTCATCAGTAAAAAGTTTTCTGTGATAAAAATGAGTAACTAATTTTAAAATAAGGTAGAGCTCTCTTGGCAATTAAGGAAAGGGCAACCCAATTACAAAGGGGGCATGTGCCAAAACTGCCACAATGTATGGGAGCCCCTGGCGAGAAACCTGCCAAACATGAAAAATAAAAAGGTTTTGGGTATGAAATATAATTTTTTTGCTTTATTCACGTTAAGAGGCCCAGAAATAGAATGAAGAACTTTTAAAAACTAAATTTTTGAAAACGAGATGAATGTATAATACATTCTGTAATTTGACACACATGGAACCAGAACAGTGTTAGATTAAGATTACTGGATTATTGGAATTCAGATGAATTCAATAGTTTAATTATTTGGAAAAACTATTTGCATGACATTAGTACATTGTATTAATCAATACACATAGTATTGAAAGAAAATATGAAAGGAGAGCAATCATAAGGTACTGTGTTTTAGAATTCTCAAATTAATTGACAATCCTTTTAAAATAATTTTCAATTGCCTTTTGCTGTTTTGTCATTCAAGTGCACTGCCATTGTCAGTAATCAATTGCCAAGTTAGATTTGCACAAAATTTGATGAGAAATTTTTTGGGTCTTCATCAGTTGTGCAATTAATTGTGTACAACTGACAAAAACCTATGAACCTAAATCAAAAATGTTTTTAATTAAAATTCTTGCTGATAGACTAATTTTAAGGTGTGATTTTTATTTTATTGTCTGCATCCTTCTAGTTCCTGAACTGTTACAGTGCAAAATGAAAATAACTGAAATTTATCTGGTATAGTTTAAAGATTAAAAAAATTGAATAATACTTAAACCTACCAAAATGAAAACAATTGGTACTGTACAATTCCAGTTTACACAGATTTTATACTGTAGCCTATATGTAAATACAGGCTACATATGCCTGTGTAAATGTGTGACTTAAATTCTGCAATAACAGTCAACTCCTTCTTAACATATATGGATCTCAGTGAGTGAAAATACTGTGCATTAGAACATTTTTATTTGTTAAGTTTAAAAAGTATATCCTGAAGATGAGTGCAAGAGTGCTGGACATTTCACCTAATTATCTTTTATTTTATATTGATAAAAAGCAAATTTTATGAAATTTTAAAATTGTTAATAGCCAAATTATTAAATAATAAAATAAAATAGAAAACAAATGTTTTATTTTAAGTGAACACTATATAGAACACTAATATTGCTGCACGGAATTAACAGAATGACAAAATATAGTGTAAAATAGGGATAAAATATATTTTAAAAATTGTAGAAGCATTATCGTCACCTTTACAGAGTTTTGTATCTTAGTAATAATGAGATTAAATATTTCTTGATGCCAATAACAGATTTTTAATGTTAAGATTTAGGATTTATATGAGCAGAAAATTGTTTTCATTACATGTATTTGTGATCGAGATTGAATATGAAAACTGACTTTTATTTGAAATTGAGTTTATTCTCAATATTTAATTACTAATAATTAATGTCCTTGTCTGGAGTTTTATTAATGTAGGAAAGGAAAAATCTACATAACCATTTTCTGTCATAATATATTTTAATTTGTTTTCTTATCCTTTATATTTTTTTTAATTTAAATTTGTAATAAACGTTCAGCAAATATAAAATATGCTTATTCATTATTTTGATACATGATAAAATTATTTTCACTTTTATACACTGTTCTTTATGTGAATATGATATTAATTTTAGAAAATAACAAGAAAGTGTTAGTGCTATTCAGTTTCAAATTGTCAATTTCTAAATAAATATTTTTTAATTAAAGAAGACATGAAAGGAATGTTTAATTTTAAAAACAAAAAGTTTGTATTTTTATATTATTAAAACTAATTAAAATTAAATGAATACAGGTAACCCCCGTATAACACGGTAGTTACGTTCCAAAAAATTGCCGTGTTATGCGAATCCGTGTTATACGAAACAAAGAACTAATACGAAAAGGAGGGTTAGGTTCCAAAAATTAAAAAACATGCTAGTATATTTTCATAATTAAGATAAATATCTTCATTAAAATTTTTTTAAGTGATACATATTAATATAAATTAAACAATGTTTTCTTCGTCATCACTAAAAACACTATTAATTAACCGAGAGCGTTTTCTTTTTGGCAAGTTATCCTTATCCTCTGAGCATTTTTCTGCATTATCTTCAGATCCATGCTTTACCTTTTGCAAAATGTATGTAATTTTAGATTGCTTGCTTCTAGTTAAAAGGTCTTTATAAATTTCCTTATATGGTGCTAAGCACTTATGAAGAATAAAGCAAGTATGGAATAAGGGAAAAACATTCGGCAACATCAGAAGCAGAAGCGTCGCGATCTGGCAACATTGAAACAAGTTTCGAGAAGGACCACGTGTATCGACAGAAGGCGAGAAGAGAAAATTTACATACTTAAGTACTAATAGTTCACGAAAATAATAATTTTCGTGAACTATTATTACTTAAGTATGTAAAAATTTTTTACATTTCCTGTTGTACGAGGGTTTTACCCAATTCTCGAACCGTGTCAGAGTGAATCCGTGCTATAAAAGTACCGTGTTATATGGGGGATGGTACCAATTCTCGAACCGTGTTAGAGCGAATCCGTGCTATAGAAGTGCCGTGTTATACGGGGGATGGTACCAATTCTCGAACCGTGTTAGAGCGAATCCGTGCTATAGAAGTGCCGTGTTATACGGGGGTTACCTGTATATTCATTTCCATACATTGTATTTACCTGTAATTGTTTTTCTTTGATAAGGTACAAGAAAACAAAATACAGAGAGACCAGTAAGAAATCCTAATCCAACTGATAATATCAAGACACCCCACCATGGTACTTCATCAAATTTTAACACTGTAAATAGATAATTATTATGAGAATTTTTTAAATTTAAATATCTATTCAAGAATTATTATTATTTTTTTTTAACACCTACTTGATGGACCATCATGAACAATAGAAAAAATATTAATTAAAATTGTAAATCCATAAAAGAATGGTAATGATCTGAGTCCAGGTTCTAATTGATCACTCTGAAAAAAATCATCACATTTATCAATTATGGATAAATAAAAAATATATTTATTTATTTTAAAAATTTTGAAAAATACTGTATACCTTTTTCAGGATGAAAAATTGTATTCCCAAAAAGATAGCGGTGGAAAAAATTCCAGAGAGCACGGGCGAAAGGAACCAGGAAGCCACTGAAACACGTGATCAATGAATGAACCTGTGAGAAATACACCGCACTATGTAATGTAAAATAAAGCTATTTCTTTAAAAAGATATTTTAAATTATTGTTATTATTATAGGAATTAGATGCTTTTTGAATTTATCAAGTATGAGAAATATCTATATATTCAATATATACTGTATAAAAATAATAAAGAAATTCACTTCAATAAAATTATTTTAATTTTGTTAAATATGTCATAATTCTGATAGGATGGCATATCTTGATCTATTAATTACATAATATGAAATAAATAAATACAGTATAACTAAATAGAAGAGCATTTATAATCAGTTCATGTAAAATATATAATATGTATATTGTAGCAATGCAAGACATTTGACAGATACTTTACACCACTTAACAAAGTCAATCAAACTAACACAAGATCTAATTAAATGAGCAAAATGGACAACTCTTAACCATAATATATAAATAAAAATAATGTTAAATAAAATGTTTTTTTGGAGGATCAATTGAAAACCAGACTGGTCCTTTTTAGAAGTGATGCAAATCTCATATCACTGAACTTGGGGCACATTATCTAGTAAAGAGCTGTAATACAGCTGTCTAAGCAATAATCTGTTTCAGATGAAACAGACATTGTGTCATTCATTTAGTTATCCAGCTGTATTAAAGTCACTTTACCAGACAACATGTCTAAATATAAGCTCTTTGTTGCATGGTTTTGCTAGACCAATTGGAATGGCAATGGTTTTTTAAAAGACAGTTTACTGACTTCCACTTTATGTTACACACTACAGCTCTAATTCAGTGAAGTTTGAAAGCACTGAAGACAAAATTCAAGATGATGTCTGTCACAAACTGCAAAGTATTTGTAAAATTTTAGATTGGAGAATATGTAGCCTTCACTACCTTCTATATTAATTTTTGTAACACCAGCTATAATTTTGCATCATATATGAGTATATATTTCATTTATATAAAAGTAACATTTACAAACAGCAAACTAACAGTAGTAGAGTTGTTTCCTTTGATGTTTTTGCTCTACAGCTCTGACCATCTTATTCGGAGCTTGAGTGGAGCCAACCTTACCCTCCATCCCTCAATTTTCGCTAATTTCTCTCCAAGCCTTATTTTTTAAGTATTTCCGACGATAGTCTATAGAATTGACATTCAGTAAAGAATCGTATTGCTCAATAAGTTTGATGAAACAAGCTTCCAAAGCAGTATTTCAACATACCACCATCTTTCTACTTCACTATATTTGTGGGATAAGCCGATTGGGGTGAGGAGATTTCCAACAGCCGTGCGGTCTACTCCGTCGTGTGGGAGTGTCAAGACTCACTGAGACAGGTTTCCATCGTAAACCGTTTATTAAACATTAAAAATGATGCTTACAGCTACTCTTAACAATCGGCGTAAGGCCTATCCAAGGGCCTTACGCCGATTACAATAAAAAGAATTCAATTGTCCAAACGAACGTTGAGCTGCCGGTGAATCGATGTGGAGAACGTCGGCCCCGGAGCGCACTGCACACTTGGAAAGGATGGTCGTCGTCGGGAAACACCTGGGCGAACTTTCGGGTCGGCAGTCGAGGTCAATTCTGAACACAAAACAAAAAAGAGGGAACACAAAAATTCCGTGAAAGGAGCGCTTAGAACTAAAGACCAAGAACTCCTAATGTCCTTGAAAACGCGGTTTTATAGATTTTTCAACCGCAGCCGCCCCTCTATTGATCTCTCATCGTCACCTGTGACAATTCGAAACCCGATGAAGGGCGCGGAGAGGTCAACTTCGCGACCGAACACGACTCCTCTCCGGCCGCGTTTTCCTCGACTTTAGTCTTCCTATTGTTTTAAATCTTTTACAAAAAAACTTCCATTGTTTAACTCAGATCTTTAATTTCGCCCTTTGGCGTTGTGAAACGTGATTTTATTTTAAAAGCCGGTGAATACCTCCTTTCGGACCTCGTTTGGGTCCTCACATATTCGACGCTTTTTATTGGGTGCATTTGCAGCCAGTACGAAGAAATAAACTACAATGGTATCTCATACTTCGAACGTTCCAGAGTTTGAACGCAAAATTCCAGAGAAATTCGATACGGTGTTCGAATGAGCCTTTTACGTTCGAACTGCGCGCGATGAAAAAAATGCTGTTGCTGCGTAAACGTCGCTGTTGTGCATCGGTCATCTCTCCCTCTCTCTGAGAAATCACCTTTTGGGTTATGCTCGTGTATTTTCAGTTTTTTCGCTTTAATTTTAGTGTGTTTGGCTAGTATAGGTGGAGGTAGAGGTTATTATAAGCTCTACCTATTAACCATGGCTTTGAAGAAGTGTGTGGAAGCAACGCGACCTAAGAGAAAGATTGTAATATCGACGACTGAGGTGAAAAAGGAACTTATCGCGAAATATAAAAGCGATATGCGTACGGCGGATCTGGCAAGGCGGCCATGTGTAAGTTGCCGAAGTCAAAGGTATGTACCATTCTTAAAAACAAAAAAGCGATAAGGTCTGGCAACGGATTAATTCACTATCCATTATTTCTAATGGGGAAAATTGATTCTGAGTTCGAACGAATTAAATTCGAAGTACGAGGCACCACAGTAGTTTAATGTCTGCCTCTCTGGAGATCCGGATTCGAGTCTGGATCGAATCTCAAAAATTTTTATAGCCCTCGCATCCAGCTGCCACCAATGAGGACCTGGCCAAACTCACGATAGTCAAGATAAAAAAAAATCTTCAATGCCCACAGGGCATAAAGAGTTTAAAACTTTTTGACATCACCGAGTCTTCAATACAACATTGTACTGTTTTCTACATGTTTACTATTGAGGTATTTTGGTTTAGTTTTTATTTTCGAACTTTTAGTGGTTATTGTAATCGAAAAAATTGAGTTTGAAACTTACCAATCATTCCAATCGATCGCCATTGCACTCCATAAAAACCTCTGGAAACTAAGGTAAATCCTACTACTGCTCCTACAATACTATGGGTCCCGGAAATTGGAAGACGAAAAAACGTGGCTATAATATTCCAAATGGCGCTACCTGAGACAATAGAATGGCCGTATATTAATTTTAACATTTATTTGAAAATATTTTAGAAACAAATTTATATTTAATAGTTTAACAGATTAACACAGCACTATAATATAAAATGTACAGTACAATAAATCTTACCAGACAAAGCTGCTAAATTTCCAAGCATTAATTCTTTTTCGTTATTAGCAAACATGTTTACATCAAAAATATCTTTTCTCACTGTATCAGAAACTTTATACCCTATTAAGCAAAATATATATATAAATATAAATATTCAATACGATAACTTATTTCGTATAGTTAATAGCGAGGTTACGGCAGAAGTTTTCATCTCTGAAACGTGAACGTCAAACGTCAAGCGCCACTCGACGTTCACGTTTCACAGATGAAAACTTCGCCCGCAACCTCGCTAATTATAAAATTACCCATTAGAACAGCTCCTAATATTTCAAAAATCGTTGCAAGTATACAAGCTTGGCGAAGAGTAAGTACTTTAGATCCGACAGATGTTCCGAATGAATTTGCCACATCGTTAGCGCCAACTCCAAATGCCAAAAAGAATGCGATAATGAAACCTACTATAATAATCCATAAAATCTCGTGGGACTGCGGTTCTAGCATAACTATTGAAATTCAAATTCTGAAAATAAATTTATATATTTAAAAAATCATAAATAGTATTATTAAAATTTACAAGATCATATAATAAATACACAGTAGAGAAGTTGCGGCCGAAGTTTTCATCTGTAAAACGTGAACGTCGAACGTCGAGCGCAGTTTACAAGATAGCGGCGCTCGACGTTCACGTTTTAAAGATGGAAACTTCGGCCGCAACCTCGCTAGTGTGACAATTAATGAGACTGGAACTCTATTACACGTTCTGTATTAGAAATAAGAACTACCTTTTGCCATTGTTACCTCTAATGTGCACTTTCCATCCATCAGTCATATAAGTCTTTATTTTATGACCCTTTTAATGTCATACATATCGGTAAAAGCAGCTGTTTGAACAATAATGGCTACTAAAGAGTGGGTTTTAGCGTTTATATTTTCAAAGATATATTCTTTATACAATTCATTTCTATTTTTCTTTTTCAGTTTTCGTCTCTAAAACAGATTATGGCAATAAAAATACGCAGTATAAGTATATCTATCATTTTCTCAGCGATAAAAGATGATTAGATTAGGATTTTTTCTTTCTTTCTAATACAGTACTATCGTATAACGGGGCTTGATAAAACTGCAAAAATATTTATAACACCAAATAAATAGATTTATTTGAATAATTTATGAAACAGTTTAAATTTCATTGAAGAATATATATATTTAAATGTATTAATTTACTTTTTAATATTTTAAATGTCTTTATAGATGAAAATACAATTAAAAATTATGTAAGAAAACTAAATACAATTTCATAATAATCAGAACAACAGAACAATAAAATGTCAAAACTTAGATAAATAGTAAGAAGATTATTGGATAAAAAGCAATTATTTATAATGCTCATATTGAGGTATATATATAAAAAAGTGTTAGCAAAAGATTAGATAAAATGTAATTTTTGAAAACCCTAATAAGATGAGAAATATTCAGACTTCTCCAGTCTTCTCCAATCCAATCCCTAAAAGTGGCTCGAAATGTCTTAATATCAGTAAGAAATATAGTAAGTAAGAAACATTTATTATATAATTATAATGTAGAAGGTGGCCCAATAAGGTGTCATTTAACTGTGATGTATTTTATAATAATCTTAAAAACATATTCCAGTTAACTGACTTCTGAGCTACCACCTTATATGCTTTTTATGGAATTAAATATATTTATATATTAATCTTTTATATAGTCAAAATTTTCTAAAAATAACTTATTACTTTGTTCCATCTTATCATGTCAGATACCATTCACAATTAGACATTATTTATTAGTTTGAATCATTTGATCTTTGATTTAAATCATAAAGTAAAACGCTTTGATTGGACAAGATGCGCAAAATTTAATTTTTTTACAAGTTTAATTCAATTCAAAATATAAAATATAACGATTTTGTTTTAGATAAAATGGAAATCTTTTGTGTGACGTAATTTTTTCGTCTTTATAACCATTCCTCACGTGCCAGGTCATCCATATTAGATGGGCACTGGAGGTCTGCTCCTCACTCGACACACCAATTCGTCCCACAAATATTCATTAGGTTTGTGATCGAGGTTCTGGGCTGGGCAGTCATTTAATCTACTCCTCCTTAAGTCAGAGCGAACAGTATTGCAAGGCGTGTTATCATGTTAAAGGGTATGGGGGACTTCATGGAAGAAATGCCAGCGTCGGAAGTAGGAAATTGGCATGTTAACTTGCGCGAGGAGGAAGTCAATGCCAAACCAGCAAACCATTAGGTTCGCACAATTTCGTTATAGGTACGACATAGTCAAGAGATGAGGCTTACCCGGTGGCATCACACCCACACAAGGTAAACAAGATAACGGGACTCATCGCCCCATACAACTTGCTCCGTCATCCAGTTACGAATATTGCACAACTGCAAATGACGTTTTTCATGCCCGGGTGCTACAGTGACTTTTAAGCCAAAAATATTTGGCTTAAAAGTCACTGTTCTGCCAGTGTAACCCAATTTATGCTGCTCTGTACGGATAGTTCTGGTGCATAGTATCTGTCCAGTTGAGGAAACTGAGTGATGGTCTCCACACTTTCAAGCGATTGCGTTTTACACCATTTTCAACACTGAAGTCTCCAGGGGTCATTGAGGTAGGTTTACATGGGAGTGTTTTGTTCTTGTTTGTCCCTCTTGCCACCACTGCTTAAAAATGTCGCTATATTTAATTTCGGGAGCAGCATCTTATCCTGAATAGCACGAATAAAACGTTTACTAAGATGACATCCAATTATCTGACCCCTAACAAACTCCATAGGCTCCGGACCTGGATCCATGGTGTGCACGTTTGCTTAGCCTTCACTGATGAACTTTGAAAAGTGTATTTGCATTCAGTGGTGAACACATTCATTCTTGCATATTAGAAGGGTATTCCCAATAACTCTTTCCACCTACCCACTCACACACACACACATTGTTTAAGCAACACTTTAACAGACTATCATAGAGAATGTAGGCTTATTATAATATTCTGTCATTTTTTAAAGATGAATATAGTACAGTACCTTGCTTCTAGTACGGATATGTCCCATGTGTTAAATATGCCACCATTCTTACTCATTTCTCTAAATACGTTACTACATTTGACAACACGATATATACTGTAATTACTAAAATCAAATTTGCTTTTCCAGGGCGAACACATTTACGCAAGATAAATTGGGTCTAATGAAACAATCGATTACTCGCCATGCTGTAGTGTCCACCAGACATTTTAACATAGTTCAGAACGTTCGCCCGAAGACTTTAATACGCAAACAAAGTAACGCTTATCGTTTACAGTGACGAAACACCGGGTTTCGTCACTGAAAACGATACGCTTTCAGTCTGTAGCAAACGAAGCCGACGATATTATGATGCTAATGGCGGATCTCCGTCAGCTGTACTCAATGTCATTGCATGACTAACGTTCGAAGACTTCCAAACAACAGGCATACTTAAAACTCAGAACACAGCGAGTCTATGCAGCCTTTCTACAGGATAGTAAATTAGCGATTTTAAGGCACTCTGGTTGCTTAGAATATCATTTTTAGTTTACAGAAAAATCTTTATTAGATATATCTATTTTTGCAGAGAAAAATTATTAAATCAAACAAAAAAATATAACAAAGTTATACAGAATTATATATTAACTTTGATGAGATCAAAGTTAGTATAGTATAGTATAGTTAGTCAGATCTGATCAATAATATGTTTATATAATTGTGATAAGATACATATGGTTTATATACGTGTATTTAAAACTGTAAGTGGCCAATTTATGATTGTTATGCAATTTCTGATTTAAGATATTAACAAATTCAAAAGGAAAATGGTGAAATAAGATGATTTTGCATATAAAGTATAACTTATGTATATAAAAATCATCTATTTATCCGCTATATGAAACATCAGCTAAAATTCATCCATATGTATGAGTGAAGACATTTCAAAAAATTTAAAATTAGGAAATTATTATAAAAATATATCATTTGGAAATATCAGATGACATTTTAAATATTTTCAAATTCTTTTATGTATTTATTTATTCTATATATTTTCATAATCGAAATGCTGATCTTCAATATCAAATAAAGTACTGTAGAAATGGATTAATCTACAAATCTTATCACTTTCTTTGATTACAATACGTAACAAAATTTTTAAAACTTGATGCTCCTGTGAAAATCTTGAGATTTTGTAATTTCTTTGTATCAAAGTAACTAAAAATATATAATTTTCTCCAAGAAGTTTGTATTTGAAATTATTCAAATACCGATTTTTCTAAACGTCCCAGATAAATCCCATGAATTAAATTAAATGATGGCATCTAGACTTGAAAACTTTCATCTAACAGATACCACTGTTTAAATCACTGTTCATAAGACCCGTCTCTAACAATTTTCAAGTGTAATCGTCAAGAAGGGCTCTGCTTCTGCCAAAATTTCTCCGGTCTCTTCGAAACAATCGCAATTGCCTGCATCCCGAACGAATGGTGCCTGTTCATTGATAGCTCATCCAGGAGCCTTGAAGCTGTTATACTCCATAACAGAAGTAATACTTATACTTATCCGTCTCTTCCCCTTGTTCATTCGGTGAACTTGAAAGAGTAATACCATGGTGTGGAAACGTTAGAAGCCTTGAAATATGACGAATACGGCTGGAAGATTATTGGAGACATCAAAATGATAGCAATCTTAAGGAGGCATTACGAAATACTCCAGTTATCTTTGCCATTGGGATAACAGAGATACTACAAGAAGAAGCACTGGCCACAACGGACAGAATTCTCTTTGGGGAAGCTCAAGTAGGCGCCACTAGTAGACCTTAGAAGACTGTTTCTACCTTTACATATAAAATTGAAAAATTGGGTCTAATGAAACAATTTGTCACATGTCTTTATAAGGGATCCGCAACTTTCAAGTATCTCAGACTTTTTCCCGGAAGCTCTCTAAGGCTAAAGTCAAGGATAGTGTCTTCGTTAAGCCATAAGAAGATCCAGAAGTGCTCAGAATTCTTCAGTACGATGGGAAAACAAGCGTGGGACAGCTTTGCGCCGTGTTTGGAGGCTTCTTGGGCAATCGCAAGGCGAAAAAATATAAAGAACTTGTCGAGAATCTAGTGGCGAACTACGGCAAAAATGGGCTGCAGGATGTCTCTAAAACTCCACATTCTTCACGTCATACTGAAATATTCAAGAACATGGGAGCATACTCTAAAGAACAAGGGGAATGCATCCACCAAAGTATTTTGGAGTTTGAACACCGCTACTAAGGAGTGTTTAACGAACCACGATGGGAGACTACATTTGGGGACTAATATATTAAAATAATCGTCATTATAAACATAAATATCAGAAAATTACTGATTTTTAAAAGTTTTTATGTAATATTAATAATAAATGTAATTTATAAGTAATGTGTTGTTGTTTTCAAAAGTATGTATGTAAATGAAATAAAATTGCTTAAAAGCTAAACAAA